TTTTGCCTATTTCTTCATTAACCTGTGAGTTTTCAGGACTCCCCCAGTTTGTGGAGAAAGACACACTGAATAAAATTTTAGTCAAAAGTCCTAGAAAATGGAAAGACCTAGCTCATTTCCTGTATGTTAAATTAAGGGAAATTAATAGAAATCTCCCAGGTTAAAACATACTGGCTTAAGAAAAATTAAACTAATTCTTCCTTACTGTCTCTCACTTTTCAAATTTTTACAGGATTTACAGAGATCTCTGACAAACACCATGCCCAGAGGTCACATTAATCCCTCAGAGAGCTCTTAAGGAATTCCAGTTTGGGGACAGAATTACAACTTATGTTGCCCTTGTCCTCGGCCCTCTTTGCTGGCACATCTTCTTTCTGCATCCTTACTGTGGACTCCGTCCTTTCCCTTCTGTCTTTTCATCATACTCAAAACTTGCCTTCTCTCGTGGCTTCAGCTTTTACCCTCCAACAGATGAATCCTAATTCTACACCTCAACTCTCACTTTAACAATATTTAATATGTATAACATAAAATTTGCCATTTTAACTGTTTTTAAGTATACGATTCAGTGGCTTTAATTATATTCACAACCATCACCACTGTTTCCATAAGCTTTCATCACCCGGTCGCCGTCACATGCTTGCTTGCAGAATTTGAAAGTGTGACTAGGGGTTATCTAAAAGCATCAATTTTGAACAGCCTGTTTAGCACCTGGTGCTTCTTTTGAATAAGGTTATTCTACACTTACTCATCTATACTTACTGAGGAGATAATATATATAATACACAGAATAACAACCTTTTATTCTAATAAGTACATTGACGTTCCAGTATGCAAACAATGATGGCCTTTAGGAATCTTTATGAAGCTTTATTAATGTGCTATTATCCTCGAGTGGTATCCACTTTATTTTATTAATTTTCATTTAATTTAAAATATCAGTAAAAATAGTTGAATTTAAAAGCTAGTTATCTGTTTCTAATTGGGTAGCCACATGGGTAGATCTGATCACGCTGTGACTCAGAGTAAACTATGGGACTTCTTGCCTCTGCAAATAATGTGGAGAACACTGGTGTCTGCCTCCTGCTTAAGAAGGAAATATTGAAAAATCAAGCATGAATCTCTTGTGTTCTTCTGAAGAACTGTAGAAACAGCATTTTTAAGTTTTTTTAATTGTTAAATTAGGCAACCAAAGAAGTGTCAGAGAAGAGGAGGCTGGGGAGAGACAAGACAACTAAACACAATGTTGTATCTTGACTACATCCTAGAGCGAAGAGAGGACAATAGTGGAAAAATTGGTGAAATCTAAGTAAGGTCTGGAGTTTAGTTAATAGTCATGTACTCATTTCGGTTTGTTAGTTTTACAAAGGTACAATGATAACGAAGATGTTAACAGTGAGGGAAACCGTGTGAAAGACATATGAGAACTCTCTGTGCTATCTTTGCAGCTTTCCTGTATACCTAAAATTATTCCAAAATAAAAGTTTATTTTAAAAATAGGCAGCCATTTTTTCATCCATTTAAAAATAACAACACAGAATGTATATTAGTGAATTAAATATTTTCACTTGGTACTTACCCTGGATGCTGTTGCCTCTTACACTTAGTGATACAAAGATAGTAACCAAGTAATCCAAAAAAAACCAAAAATACTCCAGCAGCAATTAGTCCAGTCAGAAGGCCCATAACATCGATTGTCTCTCCGTTACCACCTTAAGAAAAATCATGAACAAAACGTAACTATAACAATTGAAAAGTACAACCTATGATTTTAATACATTTAACCCTGGTTCTAAGTACACTATGAAGCATCTAATAATTAATATTGATTTCTTTAAAAAGTCTTTGTGCTAAAGACATGACCTAAAGAATTTTTTTTTTTTAGGTGAGGCAACTCTTGGTTGACCTCACAGATTGCAAGGACCTCGTCAGCTTACAATCTTATTATTTTTTAATTAAAACTTTTAAAAATATTTTACGTCTACAGCACCTGGTCTTCCTAAGTGGTCTCCCATCCAAGTACTAACCAGGCTCGACCCTGCTTAGTTTCCGAGATCAGATGGGATCAAGCTTGCTCAGGGTAGCATGACGGTAGACCTAAAGGATTTTTAAATGATACTTCCTAAAAACATTACCTATGATTTCGTTTATTTTTTTATAGGTCATATTAAATGGATAATATTCAAGACTAAGTGAGATAAACATAATCTTTGTTCAACTAGACACACTTTGACATTAACTAAGATACATATACTGAGAAACTCTAGAGTAGCTGGGTAATGTAGTCTCCCTATAGCTGGGGCCCTACCTAAGGGGAGCGAAAGAATAGCTGGCAAAAAAACCACCCGACTAAAAGGCATCTAGAGATGATCGATACAGATAAAAGAAAGGCTGGCCTCTCTCTAGAAGTTACTTAATTCTATCTAACAGTCTTAACTTGCCTAGTAGCATAGGTATTGTATTGACTTATAATGGTAAAAAAGACAAAAAAATTAAAATAGTTTACTACCTGAAACCAATAGAGTCCAACTTTTATTCTATGCAAGTCTTGACTTAGCTGAGCTGTTTAAAGCAGCTTTAAGCCTATTATCTCATTTCCCTAGTATCTCACCAAACTTGATCTTCATTGTGTAAATAGATGAATGTGACCTTCTCTGTTTTAGCTAGCCTAGTGTATAATTGAGAAATCTTCCTTGGATTTACAAGGTGTGTATATTGAGCAACAACCAAACTCAAACAATGAAACTAAAATGTGTTATAAAAGAAAGGGTGTGGGAAAAACATTACATTTGATGAACTCTTGTCTTACCTGATTTTGTTGCTGGTCCTCTAACCGAGTATTCCTGCCAAAATGCCACCTAAGAGAAAGGTAAAATTTCCACTTAGTTTCTTTATTATCATTTCATTTGGTCCCAATGACCTAGACTAAGGGTGGTGAATTCTTGGCATGTGCCACAGGCAGGATACCAGTTCTTTCAAGTTAAAGGGTATGCCTCACCCTAATTAAAGCACTACCACACACCACTGTTTCTCCCAATTCTAGAACTGGTCAAGGGATTATAGCCAGTGCTAGCTCCCTACCACTGTACCCCGCTATTCTCTTTTCACCTGTCCAGAGCTCCCACTCAGCCATCACGGGAAACTATCGCATTAGAGTAGGTGAAAGAATCTAAGGTGGAAGCTGAGGCAGTGGACTCATTATCATATTTGAAAAGGAGCCTGAATTTTTTTTTATGCTATGCAAGCCCTCAGTTTGCTAGATTTTATTGAAAGATATTTGTTGATTCTGAAAGACATCCCTGAAACCGTTTAAGTTCAGTATTATTTGAGAGAATGGAAGAGGATTTTAAGGAACTGTGATAAAATTAGAAAATGAGTTTGTGAAAAACAGATAAAATCTCAATAGGCACAATTACAAAGTACAGACTTTGTTTTCTTTCTTTGATAGAGGTGGTAGATATTAGCAAGGAGGCTGGGCACAGTTTTGGAAAAGAAAGAACTAAGTTCCACTAACACCTACACGTGAAGGATAGATACCTAGAGAGGTTCTTAGTAACCAAAGAGTAAAATGGAACTCTTGAGGAAGGGAAAAAGGAACTGGGGTTATTTAATCTACAAAAGTAAAGAATTTGGTTCACTTAACATTCTACAAGAATATGTCAGATTATAACAAGGACAGTGCTGTCTGTCTGTTTTCTACCTTTTCAAGACTGACAGGATTTGATTATATTTTAAGGGAGAACTTCTAAAAGTTTCTACCTTAAATTACACAGATATGCCAAACATTACTGTTTATACTTCTGAATGCAGGGGCTATATATTTTGTATCTTCAGTCTCTAGCAGAGTACTTGGCTCATAGTAGATTGTCAATACTTAAAATATAAATACGGGAATCAAAAAAAGTTAGGTCTCTGATAGGAAAAATTGCTCTGACTCTTGAATGATTGAAATCTGAGTCAGAGAACTAACTCAGATCACATTCTGAAGTTCAATTCACTCTGCTGCATGACTGCTTTTGAATATAATAAATATTAAACACACAAAATCATAGCATAATCGATAACTTTTTAATTACTGTAAGCCCAGTTAATTAAGTATAAACTAAGTCTAAGTTTAAGGTTAATTAGCATTTTAAGGAAGTAGAAAGAGATAACAGGTATACAGTCCTGATGTTATTTAAAGCATAAAATCTCTAATGACTGAAAGTGCCATTTTCTTAAGTACTATTTAATAAATTTCCAGCCAATTAACAACATCAACCAAATTACCGTTTTATCTTCATCCACAAGAATCTCTCTGGCTTCCTCATAATTACAAAATTCTTCATTGCACTCTCTTTCTAGGTCATTGGGAGTGAAGAGCTCCAAATCGAATCTATTATATAGGAGGTGTCTATGTATGACAGAGTTTGCTTCTTCTTTTGATGTAAAGACTAATAAAGAAATAGAAAGATTTCAAACACTAATTAAAATAAGGAATAAAATTCCTGTTTTAATTGTGAAAAAAGTGAATAATTCTCTTGATGTGGTTAAATTATACCAATTTCTCGTATGTTTTTAAAATCTGACAAAAAGAAATATTACCAGTAAAAATAATTTCTGCTAAATATGAAATACAAATATTAGTATAATTCCAGAAAAGAACTGAGTTGATTATGTCCAAAATTATTAGCATAAGTAAAAATTATTTAAATACCACTTTTGCCTCCAGAAAATTATTTTTCCAACAAATGACAGGTCAGACTATGTATTCTATTTCTATAGGGTAGGTTCTCTATTATCTTGAGTGAGAAATTAGTCTGGTGTAATGTACAGAGCACTGGATTAAGAGTTAGAAGACAGAGATTCTTTGTTTTAATTTGGCTTAGCTATCAGCTGTGTATCCTGGTAAGTCACTTATATCTTAGGGTTACCATTTTCTCATTTGTAAAATTGGGAAATGAACTAAATAATCACTAAGATCTCTTTATGTTTTAAAATTTATAAAAATACATTTATATTAAAATTGTTATATAAAATTTATACTAAAATAAAAATTTAAACCTCTAAGTTAATAAAATTATAAGTTAACTACAAAATTAAAAGACATTTAGTCCCTCCCAGAGGAGTAGCTCCCTCTACCCATTCCCCAAATACATATTTACAATGCTTTACAAGATTCCCTCTATATTTCTAAGAAGGTAAATGGTAAACAAGATAGAGTTAAGCACAGGTTAACACAAAACTAAAATATCCCTCCAAACTTTCAACTCATTCTAGTATCACGCAAACAAAGCTAATCTATCACCTTTCCAAACAGGTCTGACTCTTCTAGAGCTGTTTTGTCTAATACTAGCCACGTACGGCTGTTGAATACTTGAAATATGGCCAGTCTGGATTGAGATGTGCTGTAAGTGTAAAATACACACAGGATTTCAAAAACCTAGTTTTAAAAATGTGAACTGTCTCAATGTTTTATATTGCTTATATTTGGAAATGATATTTTAGATATACTGGGTTAAATTAAATAATTACTAAATTAATTTCACCTATTTTTACCTTTTTAAATGTAACTATTAGGAAAATTTAAGTTATTTATATGGTTCACATTATATTTTTATTGGCCAGCACTATTCTAGTGTATTCATTTTAATATTATAAATAACATATATGGACTATTTGAACCAAGGGGGAAGCTAAAACGGGATCATTGGTGATAATTGTTTTAAGAAATATATTAAGAGACTGCCCAGTGTGATGAATATTTCTGTTCTTTCTTCCCTCGTCTTCTTGAAGATTTTATGCTTTCATCAAATGGCAACAGAAACAGAACAAACATTTTTCCACGTCTCCATCATCTCGCGTTGAGATTCTTGCAACGACCCTCTAAGGGGTCTCCTTGCTCACCTACAGTCTGTTTTTCACATTCTGTTGTAGCTACACTGGCTTCCAACATGCCTGGTTCTTTCTTGCCTTTGTACTTGCTGTTTCCTCTGAACAGAACTTTCTTCTTTCCGTTTGCTCTCTCATCTCCTGAAGGATTTTGTTCAACATTCCCTTGAACCCGGATCTCCACAGACCGACCTCTGGCACTCCTCATCCCCTGCTATACTTTGTTTTTCTCTGTAGCACTTCTCACTATCTGGTGTTCTATATGTTTTACTTATTTGTTACCACTCTGTTCCTCTCACTAGGAGGACAGTTTTAAGGTACGAACGTTGGTGCCTGACACATAAGACATACTCAAAAAATTACTACGTGAATGAATGAACTCAATGTTCCTAGAGTGGGAAGGAACTCTTGGAACTAAATTCTATCAGTTGAAACAATTCCTGGCTATAGTCTTGTGTTACTCAGCTTGGCATAGGTTTAAAATACTAAACCAGTGATGAAGTAACTCATAGTCTGCCTAACCTAGCTATACTTACTACATGAAATCTAATTTCAGAAAAGAGATTTAGAAATCTGCCTCTGTAATCAGAATTTGCCCAGATCTTTACATTTTATTGGCTAAAAAAGCAGTGCCAAATTGCTCATTTTTGGTCTTCTGTTCAAGTAGGTTTTCTGAATTATAAAAATACTCCTGCTCTCCAAATGGCACTTGATAGAGCTACTTTCAACTTGAAAGGAATATAAAAAAGAGAGTCATAAGCATTTTTTTGTTTCTGAAGTGACCTTTATACCAGTAAAAATCTTCACCTCTGTAATTAAACATGCCTTCCAGTGGCTGTTGTTTGCCACTTCCCTGAGTGAAAGTTTTAGTTTGGTCAGAGATTGACCTTAGACCTTCAGTGCCTCACCAGACTTTTTCCTGCCTCTCTTACTATCTTAGGAGAAATATTGTTCTTTGTTGTTTGGGTTCTAAGTAACTCTGAAATTGCTTATAATTGAAAGAAGCAAACTTTCTAGCCTTTGGAGCATCCTCAATGTCCATGAGAGTTCTTACTTTCCCTATTTTCCCTCTGGCCTTTGCGCTTTTGTATCTGCCTCCTTAGATTCTCTTCCTTTCTCTATTCCTCTTGTCTTAGACCACCCCATGTGGCTCTCTGTGCATTTCGCTGTATGAAACCCACCAATCCAAATATTTTATTCTCTTCATCTCTCTTATCTCATATTTTCTAAAGAAATTCCTTTTAAGTCATTTCAACTCCACCATTGGGCTTTATTAGAATTTAGCTGAAGGTCCCTTATCTTCCTAGTTTAACTTCTCATATTTCCATTTATTGTATCTCATTTACAGATAGAGAGCATTGTCTTCTGTGCAATACAACTCTCCTGAGACAATTACTGCTACTCACTCTTTGCTCTAGAGCTCTCTGTTCCTACCTCTGTCATAGAGTTTATGGAGATTATCTGTTTACAACCCTGCCGACTGAACCAATGAAGAAGCCCTCCAAGGCAGAGATTACAGACTTTCATTTGTATATCACTAGTACCTAGCATAGGGCCTGCACATAGCATGGGTTAACAAAGTGGTTACTAACTGAATAAGATGGTTTTTAAAATATATACAATTCTTCATTTACATTTCCAACAGATATCACCTGCCTTTTGCACTCAAGTATGATTACTAAATTCCTTCCAGAGTTTATGATGTTATTGAGAGTGTCTTTTATGTCTGTATTGTATGAATAAATAAATACATTCAGAAGTTTTCTGGGGATTAGCATTTGGTCTCACTAAGAATGGATCATCAGTCTTATATTAAGAGTGGACTTACATATATGGTGCAACTCAACAGGTACTAAGGAGAATCTCCTTCCAAAATCTCTCCCTTTCCCACTAGTTAGCCTATCCATTTGCCTAGAATTCTATCATCAGGGTTTGATTCCTCCGGGTTAAGATTATTGCCCTATCTTAAACTACACACACACTCTTAGAAAGTTTCACACACTAAGCTGCATTAATCATTAATAAGTCATCTAGGAGTATTAGAGTAACAGATCCTTCTCAAATGAAAATGAGCTGAGAGTAAGATCTGATCAGAATTAATAAGGGACAGAAATGTGCAGGGAAGTAGATCCAAAGTATTGGCACTGGGTAGGGAAGCACAGTGGCAAAGGTGGGGGAAGGATGATGAGAGCCGAAGCCAATTTTTTTTTCTTTTCTGTTTTTTTTTTTTTTTCTAGAGCAGGCTTTTTAAACGTGGGCAAGAACCAGTCTGTTTACAAGGTGTGGAATTCTAGGTTAGCAAACCCCAAACCTAATCTTCTCACAGCCATCTGACTATATCCATACACTTGAAAATCTAAAAGGATCTCTGAGATGGTGCCACTCCTCACTCTCATCATTTTACAGATGAAGAAACACAAGCAGAAAGGTGTCAAGTAAATTGCCCAGGGTCTCATAACAAGTCCAGACTAGATCTTGGATTCTGTCTTTCCAGGAAGAACGAGAAATTATGCTCATTAAAATTACCACATAGCCTCATCTAGAAAAACGGCACTCACTGAATTTTCGAAAGTTGAGATAGATTCTCCATTCGGTTAACCACAAACCGGGTCTTAAATATATACATTTAATCCAAATAACACAGAAATAAATTTGCACTTAACACAAAATTACCAAATAAACCACAAATTAAACTAACGAATATTTTAGTGTTTCTATGACTGATGAGGGCATGTAGTCTCAAATACTATACTTTCTCATTTAACATCTATACTATGCGGCTCGGATTTCCAGGATGGTTTTCCTGGAAACTGAAGCAACGCTTACCTTCTTCCCCCGCATGCCTGGACTCCTCGGGACTTCTCGTGCAGTGAGGAAAGGCGAAGGTAGCTGTGAGCAGTTGGCTGAAGATGGCCAGAAGTGTAAACATAGTCCGGAAACGGTCAAACAAACTAAAACAAAACAATTAACCAACCAAACAAACAAACGAGAACAACAAAAATAGAAAAACACGTCAAAACGCCCCCTGGCTCTCAGCACTTTGAGTTTCTATGGGAACTGAGTTACCGACCAGCTGTGCTCAAAGTCACGCGGCAACTGAGCCGCGCGCAGTTTCGGTCGTCAGGTTCGGATCCGCGTCCAGAAAGCGGCCCCGAGAGCGCCTGGGGACAAAGACCGCGCCCAGGGACGCTGCTGACCGCTGAGCAGGCACCTGTCGCCAGAGGCGACCCTCTGCCTCGCGTTCGGATTGGACTGGATCCGCGGGGGTACCCGCCCCCCCCGCCCCCAACAACAACAACAACAACAACAACCCACTCCTCGCCGGGACCATGCCGCGGGGCCGCGCACCTGCAGCTCCCGGCGCATGTTCCGGCAGCTCCGGTGGTTCCTGCTGCCGCCAGAACCGAACCTCAGCGACGCTCTGGGCCTCGCTCTCGCAGGGCTGGGGTGGCCCGGCGCTCAGGACGAGGAGGCGCCCGGGGTCCGCGGAGGGGCGCCCTGGTCCGCCCGGGGACACGCGCGACGCGAGTTTCTGCCTTGATCCCGGGAGGCCGCGGAGCAGCTCAGTGGGCAGGGGAGGCGGCGGCTACCTGGGAAGCACCTGGCGCGCGCCTCTTCCCGGGGGCCGGCCTACCTGCTGCGGGCGGGCAGTGGGTAGGCGTCTCCAGGGAGCTCGGGCTTCGCCCTCAAAAGCCGCCCAACCTTCCGCCCTGAGCCCTGGGCAAGCCCGGCCGCCTGCCGGTTCTGGCCCCGCCTTGGCGCGCGGGTGGCTGGTTTGGACTCCTTTCTAGACCCGGCGTTTTCTGCCAATTCAGGGGAGCGTTTTCAGTTCTCGGCGCTCAGCAGAGGGCCCTCGGCGCGTCGGCGGTTTTCCGCTGTGGCTTCCATTAGGCCAGGGATCTTGTGATTACCTTGGTTTTCAAAGGATGATTCGCAGACGAGAACGAAATATACGTTAGAGAAAATACACTTTATTAGCAATATGAAATGAGAAGTGACGTTAAAATTAATCGATTACACTGGCTCTCAAATTGTGGTCCGTCGGATGTGGGACGTCTCCAAGATCCTTTCAAGGGATCTCCGAGGTCAAAACTAGTCCCCTTATGTTAATAACACGTGATTTGCCTTTTTCGTTTTCATTCTCTCGTGTGTATAATGGAAATTTCCAGAGGCCATTTGACATGGTAATGATGTCATCACTCTGCTAACTAATAGAATGCCTGCATGTGTTTTCTTGTGTTTTCTAGTATTTTCTATGGTAGATTTAATATCAATATGTAATTTTTTTAGAGATTTATAAATATTAATAAAATGTTTCTTCTCAGTATTTCTGAACTTTTATTAGCTATGTTTGGTCATACCTGGCAGGATAGCTATAATCTCATTCTCAAATAAATAGTTATCTTGAAATCTTGAACTTTTCTTCGAGTCCATACAGAAACACAACAAAAAGTGAGTACACGTTGTTGTCTCGATTTGAAATAATATTTTGAAAATTTCTCGGTTTTAATATATAATAGAAATACCATTAGGTATTCACATAATTGAAAACTCTTAGGGGCCCTCGATAAAGTTAAAGAGCATAAGAAAGTCCCGAGGTAAAAGAGTTTGAGAACTGGCGCCATTAGTCATGAAGGCAGCGAGTGGGCAGAAGGCCTCAGGCAGGTGGTGTTCTCATCCTTCTTTGTCCAAATAACATGCTTAACAATTCTTTGTAACATCATTTGAGATTTCATGCTTTAGCCAAAATAGTTTGGCACTTGCTGGAAGCCAAAGGAAATACTTTTCCCCCTTTTAATCTTTGATTAATTCAATATCCACCAAGTTCTCCTCACAAAGACTGCTATTGTTCTTTTATTATAGTTATTTATTATCAACCAAATTCTTCCTAAGGCATCTGCATAAATTTTTGTTTTCACTGATTCCTTCTAGACAGTGCTTTTTCTTTTCCCTTTTCTCAATCTTTTCCTCCTCGATTTTCATTTGTTCACCTTGTTCTCTGTTTCTATAATAGATCCTCCTTCTTTCCCTCTTAAGCCATTGGGATCAGACTGTGAAGAGGCTAGAAATGACTTCTTGTAGTCAACATCTTATAATAGGAAATACCTTCATTAGAATATCCATTCTTCTATTTAGTCGTTCATTTAGCCAAACTAAGTCACTAATACATAAGGATAAAGAGACAATAACCACAGTCTCTGTTTTGGAGAAGAATATAATCTAAGATTTATATCTTAGAATGTGGGCTTATAAAGTTCTTATCGAGGACAAGAACTGACTCATTCATCTTTACATCCTCCACAGTACACATCAGAGTGCCTTTTATGTTGTTTGTACTCAATATATTTTTGGGCGTGGAAACTATTTTCAGGTAGGAAAAGTGCTTCACACTATATTGGGAGTACCAAATGGTCAGATGCCTCACGCTGTGGAATCAGCAGATATGAAACTTAATGACATTCCTTGGTGGAATGCATCCACCTATATATCTAGATATTTGAACCAAAACAAAAGAAGCATTGTGCTCACATCAAATATCAGAGTTTTTAGTCTGAGAGGGGAGGCAGATATAGAAATGAGTCTGTTTCTTAATGGTCAAGTACATTCTGCATGTTTTCCTGTAATATTGTATCTTAAAGAATATTATAGCATTTGGCAGTGCACACACAAACTTCAGCTGCTATGGAACTGCAAGGTATTCTGAAATTAGCAAAGAGAAAAGGGCGTAGCCAGAAACAACATTGTCCAAGATTGCTGATTTCTTCTATTTACGAACTATATTCATTTTCTTGTTTTGTACCATTTCCTTTTCAAAATCAGAATGTTCTTATGCCTTTCTTCCAAAACTTTTTAAGTACTCTTAATTCTGGCCATCTGTGGAGTTGGGCCAGATATAATGATTCTCATTTTACAAAAAGAGATACTAAAGCATGAAGTAAAGAGTCTTGAATGGCCATTGCCGAATGGTAGCCTGGCTTTTGACTCTTTCCAGTGCTTTTTTGAGTTATTACCAAGCAATGGAGGGCAGTAAGTAAAGAATTATTTAATTTCAAAAGAAATAAGAAAGACATCGAAGCAGTGAGATTAATGGATTCGGAATAATGTGATAATGAATCTTTGAGTTTGAGCACATATTCACCCACTTACCTGTGTGAATTTAAGAATGACATGGAAACTTGCTTTACTGTGTGGGCATGAGGATTGACTCAAGAACTGTGAGAGGAAATGTTACAGCTGCAGCCATGAAGCTCTACAGCGTAAGATTCCATTCACATCCTTAAAGACAAACTGATGACTGTATCATTAGACTTCTCGGAACAGGAGATGCAACTTTACGGAACTTGATATTTCTGTGGCATTTCGACATCAATTTTTTTGCAACTTTAATTTGTCCCGGTAAAATCAACAAGTGGGATATGAAAAACTCCTACTGTTCAAGGTGGATTACATATTCTTACGCAGGTATTTTCAGATTCAACAAATAGGTAAAAAGGTTAAAGTTTTTATTTTAAACAATTGTTTAAAGCCTTCTAAAGGAACTTTTGACTAGAGAGCTCAAATTTAATTTTATCATTAAAGTTAATAACAAAACAAATAAAATTAAGAATTGTGTGAGAGGTCATCTAGTTTCCTGTCACGCTGTGAGTAGAAATAAGAACTATGTGTCATATTAAAAAAAAATAGTAATCCTTAAAGTCCTTACAGAGCACATGGAAATTTGAATTAGTGTGGTTCTGAGCTGCCTGCAGGGGCCTGTGACAGGGACTTGTGTCACAGTTGGTCACAAAACTCTCACTCTTTGTTCAGACCTTGGCATTTTTACAACTATAATTAATTCTTTGACTCACCAGACTCATTTTATCATCATAACCTTACTGTCTGATCGGCATACATTTTTTTTCTTTTTTTGCCTCTGTGTTGGAAACCTGTTTAAGTAATCATAATGTTTTAAGAAAATACTGATTTTTCTTTTCATACACAAGTTTATTTGGCATCAATTGCAAAACCATACTTTTCATCTACAATATGTGAAAAGGGAATTTAAACAAATCATGCATTTCTAGCTATACAATTGGAAGTGTTTAAGAAACATTCATTAATTCTGCATAAAAGAAGGATAATAAGGCAGTGTTGATATTACTGGTATGATTAAAGATACACATCACATGGAAGAACTGTTAGGAAGTCTACAAATCAGGCTTCCATTTATCCTTCTTCGGTGAAGAATTCTCCTTTGTTAGTTTATGTACCATTGTGGCTTCAAGCTCTCAAGAGTTCTCAAAAACTGAGTTTTGAAATATAAAATGCAGAATTTTGAGCATTGTTTCTTTTACTGATGTACACTAATGGCTTTAGTAAAATTTATGGTTCTCCATTACCTGCCTTCAACACTACCTCCCTGACAGCTCCAGAGAGCCAGGAACAAAATTTACCAGTTTTCATATCTCACCTGGCTCATAGCAGGATTTCCTGCCTGCTAAGTAAATGAAAGAATGAGTAAATTCTAGTCCTGAGTTTGCTTCCCTCTAGCTAGATGACTTTGAACAAATCACTTCTCTGAACTGTGTCTACCTCTTCTGAGACATTGAAGATTTTGTCTGAATGAACTCGAATATTCCATCCTATGCTAACATTCTAGGATTCTTTGACAATCCCTAGTAATAGAAGTGTAAAGAGGGCTCTATTTAAGTAGGATTTTAATTTATCTTCCCTGAATGGATAGTCTTGGATTACTTGCTTTTACATACATTTTTTAATTTATGCTATTTAAAAGGAAATCTTAGAACTACCATATGATCCAGCAATCCCTCTTCTGGGTTGTTAACCTGAAAAATAAAAGGCTTTTCAAAGTGAGAGGATTTGAGGTTAAAAAAAGAAAAGCTAGTTGGGAAGCACTGATTCGGGCAGAAGCCCAAATAGTATTCCAATTAGGAGACAAAGGCAAGGGGTATTTATGAGATTGGGAAGGGGAACAATTACATCAGTAGAAGGAAGGCATTTCTATTGGTCAGATAAGCTGACATAGTGATGTTCATTCTAAACAATGTTTTTAATTTTCAGTCTGGTAGCCTTCAGTCCGTAATCATATCTGCTTTCTTGTTATCTTTGCAAACAGTTCTTCAGGACCCAATATTGCTTTAGGTCCAGTCCAAAAGTTGTTTTGTTCTGTTTTAACATTCTAAAGTTTTGAGATAGTTCCTTTGGCATGGCAGCTCCAATTCCATTTTAAAGTGTCTCTCTCTCTCTCTCTCTCTCTCTCTCTCTCCATACACACACACACACACACACACACACACACAGACAGACATATACGTATATGTGTATATATTTTATATATTTATATATAAAATATTATATATACATTTTAATGGAG